CCCTGATAATTCAGAGGCAGGGGTCCTTCTTGGGGTGGGGGATGAACAGAGACTGGAGGGGGGGGGGGAGAAAGGGGTGGAGGGGCCCGTTTAAGGAGCCCTCAGGCCGGGTGTGGCAGCTCATGCCTGTAATCCCAGCACTATGGGCAGCGGAGGCGGGAGATCCCTTGAGCCCAGGAGTTTGAGACCAGCCTGGGTAACATGGTGAGATTCTGTGTCTACAGAAAAGTTTAAAAAAATGAGCCAGGCGCGGTGCAACTACTTGCCTATAGCCCCAGCTACCGAGAGGCCGAGGCGGCAGGATCACCTGAGCCGGGGAGGTTGGGGCAATGGTACCGAAATTGTGCCACGGCACTCCAGCCTGGGCGGCAGTGTGAGACCCTGCCTCAAAAAAATAAATAAAGCCCCCATTCCCCTTAGGATCGCTACTTCCTATACCAACCCACTATCCCAGCTTGGAGGGGTGGGACTGGCCTTGAGCCACAGTTGGTTCCCAGGGCAGAGAGCACGGGACGGAAGTGGTTCTGCATGGAGTACAGTGAGGCCAGGGAAAAGCAATGGATTCCTGTCTGTGAGTCCCGGCCGTCAGGGCTTGGGGTGGCCTCACTGAGCCCCCACTCCAAGCTCCGTCCGACAGAAATCCAGGAAATGGGCCGGAGAGGCTGGGATACCAGCCAGGAGACCGGTCCGAGGCTGTGCCCTGGATCCCTGAGCCCTCACTTTTGTAATTAAGGTAATAAACCGGTGCTGGCCATCGGGGCACAGGCCTGTCATCCCAGCAGTTTGGGAGGCCGAGGCGGGAGGATCACCTGAGGCCAGGAGTTCGAGACCAGCCTGGCCAACATGGAGAAACCCCGTCTCTACTAAAAATACAAAAATTAGCCGGGTGTGGTGGCGCATGCCTGTAATCCCAGCTACTCGGGAGGCTGAGGCAGGAGAATCACTTGAACCCAGGAGGTGGAGGTTGCAGTGAGCTGAGATGGCACCATTGCATTCCAGCCGGGGCAGCAGAGCGAGATTCCATCCCCCCGCAAAAAAAAAAAGAAAAGAAAAAAGAAATCCATGGAACTGCCCATGGGGAGGAGGGACTGGCCTGGCTCTGCCACTCATGTTGACGAAGGAGTAAACTGAGGCACGGCCCTTCCCTCCCCCATCAGAACTGAAAGGTGTCTGAGGCCCCGGCAGGCCCTCTGCATGAGATTTGGTGGCTCTGAGGGCCTCAGATGTCCTCACTCCACCCCCCGTTTCTCCTGCCAGCCTCAGAGGATCATTTTCAAAATGGCAACCAGCGAACCAATGTGATCCTCACACAAAGGCAAGGTGAGCCTGCTCCCGGCTGCTCACCCTGAATCATTCATGAAGGAGGCAGCTGGCCTGCGGGCTGGGATGGGAGACAGGAGAGGAGAAAAGACAGAGGCTGGGCCCTTGGCTCGCTGAATCAGTCAGGTGCCCACGGGAGCCCCTGGGCGTCTTCCCGCGCTGGCATTCTGGATATGACGGCTGACCTGTCAATCGCTGGGCCCTCAGCCATGGTTACTGGCAGGCCAGCTCGGGAAGGACACTGGTTTCAGGTGACCTGGCTGGGGCGGGGACGGTGGGGGGGGGGTTCCTGGGACCAGGCCGCCATTTCAAAAACAAAGGGCCTGCTTGTACCTGCTATCTCCCTCTAAGCTTCAGGTGGTGGGTGGGGCTGAGGGGCGGCCCCCAAGAAAGACATCCACATCCTAAACCCCGCAACGCGCATGAACATGGCTTCATTTGGAAAAACAGTCTTTGAAGGTACCATTAAGTGTCTTGACATGAGACCATCCTGGAGTAGGCAGGTAGACCCTAAATTCTGGGACATACACTCTCTTTTTTATTTTTACCTGTCTTTTAAGACAGAGTGTCACTCTGTTGCCCAGGCTGGAGTGCAGTGGCGTAATCTAGGCTCACTGCAGCCTCCGCCTCCCGCGTTCAAGTAATTCTCCTGCCTCAGTCTCCCCAGCAGCTGGGATTACAGGTGCGAACCACCATCCCCGGCTAATTTTTGTATTTTTAGTAGAAACGGGCTTTCACCATGTTGGCCAGGCTGGTCTCAGTCTCTTGACCTCGTGATCCGCCTGCCTTGGCCTCCCAAAGTGCTGGGATGACAGGCGTTTGTTCTCGTTTTTGTGTTTTAGAGATGGAGTTTCACTCTTGTTGCCCAGGCTGGGGTGCAATGGCGCGATCTCAGCTCACTGCAACCTCCACCTCCCGTGTTCAATTGATTCTCCTACCTCAGCCTCCCGAGTAGCGGGGATTACAGGAACGCACCACCATGGCCGGCTAATTTTTGTATTTTTAGTAGAGACAACGTTTCTCCATGTTGGTCAGACCGGTCTTAAACTCCGGCCTCAGATGTCATCCACCCGCCTTGGCCTCCCAGAGTGCTGGGATTACAGGTGTGAGCTACCAAGCCCGGCCAGACACTGTCTTAAAAAAAATAAAAATAAGAAAAGGAACTGGACGGGTGGCTGGGGATGTGGGGCTTGCTGGGTAAGGGGTGGCCTTGGGCTTATACTTGGAGCAAGACAGGAGCCCTGGTGGGTGGTCGCAAGTGGGTTTTAACACAATTCCCATGGGTTAGACCGGGGCTTGGAACCTGCTGGTCTCTACCACTGCCAGCTGCCACTCAGACCCCCGGCCCCTGCCTGTCTGCGCTCAGGTGGGGCCCATCCCAGGCACCCCAAGAACAGAGAGCAGCGGCTTGCTCTGGTGGTGTGAGGATGGGGGTCTCCAGGGGAGCAAATCCACAGTAACACGCTGGGCTTCTCCCAGGTGGGCTGCAGACGGCTCTTGGTGAGTCTCCGTTGACCGGCTGGTTCAGGCCAAAGGACCTCGCCACGGAGCTCGGGGGCCAACCCTAATCCCGGCTGGAATCCTCTGGCTCCGGACGCCCGGCGGGGCTCCAAGTCTCCTGGGCCCACGCCAGGCCCCTGCCTGGAACACGCTGGAGGGGCAGGGCGCTGGGCTCGTTTGGATTTGGGGAAAGGAGAATTGTCGTGTCTTCTCCCTCCGTAGGTTGCTGCCAATGAAAAACCCCCTTTTCAGTATGGACGAAATCCTGCTAAGTCTATTTAGGGAGCAGTGTGGACTCCGGGCTGGGAACTGCGCCAGTCAGATGCCCACCATCTGAGGCTTCCAACCACAGCCTCGTTTGGGTGCCAGGTGTGGAGGGCTGGGGTCGTCCCCTCACCCTAGGGTGGCTCCCAAGCTGCTGACCTGGCCTCCCTGACAGGCATCCCTACAGCTCTGTCCGACTCTTCATGCGATCAGCGCTCCCGGGAACATATACTTTGGGGTGTTTTCTGATGCTGGGATGGTGGCCCCTGAGGCAGGGAACCTCCTGGTGGCCCTGCTGGGCCCGGCCCTGTTTCCCCAGCCGTAGGGTGGCAGCCTCGAACTATACAAGGTCCAGGCCACAGTTTCCTCAGTTGTAGGTCGGTGGGCTGTGCACTGTACGGGGCTTGGGCCTCAGTTTCCCCAGCTGTAAGTGGGCGGCCGTGGACTGTGTGTGGTCTGGGCCTCGGTTTCCCTAGCTGTAGGCGGGCAGCCTCGGACTGTACAGGGCCTGGGCCTCAGTTTCCCCAGCTGTAGGTGGGGCGGCCGTCGACTGTGTGTGGCCCGGACCTCAGTTTCCCCAGCTTTAGGCCGTTGGCGGCGGACTGCAGGCCTCAGTTTTCCCAGCTGTAGGCGGGCGGCCGCCCACTGTTCAAGGTCAGGCCTCAGTTTCCCCAGCTGTAGGCGGGCGGCCGCGGACTGTGCGGGGCCCGGGACTCAGTTTCCCTATCCCCGCAGTCGGGATTCGCTGTTCCGGGCGAACAAAGGACGGTCGGGGGTGACCCTGAATCATAGCGCGTCCCCAGTCTCTGTGGCCACTGTGGAAACAGCCCTGGCGAGTCCGGGACGCGACGCGGCCTTTCCCTCCCCGCGCGATCACCCAGACGTGAACGCTCAGTTTGAATCGGACTTTTTGGCCATGTGCCCACAAGCAACATGGAGCCCTGCGGGTTTCCTGCCCGACTCCAAGATGGCGACGCGACTCCCTTTGCCCTCATGGCCCAGGCGGGCGGGTCCTGCCCACTTGCAAGATGGCGGTAGCATGGGCTAAGCACGCTTCCCTCCGCCTGACTCGCCACGTACCCAATCTCAAGATGGCGTCTCCCGCAAAGCCACGCGCCAGACGGCGACTTGCTCACTGGCTCAGACGCCGTCACGTGCTCCCACTTTCTCTCCCTCCCCCGACTCCATAAGCCGTTTCCGCCTTCGGCCTTGACGAATGACCGCCTCCACCAATAGGCGCCTTCGATTCCTCTGGGTCCCGCCCCCGGGAGACCTTCTGGCCAGTGGGAACCGCTGGCGGGGACTCGCGGGGCTCTCCCCGCCCCCGGGCTGCGGCGAGAGCCAATGGGCAGCGCGCGCGGGGGACGTGTGCGGGCGTCTCCGCCATTTTGTGAGTCTATAACTCGGAGCCGTTGGGTCGGTTCCTGCTATTCCGGCGCCTCCACTCCGTCCCCCGCGGGTCTGCTCTGTGTGCCATGGACGGGTGAGTCGCACCTCGCCCCGCGCCCCGCCGCCCTCCCCGCGCTGCAGCCCTGCCCCCGCCGCCGCGCCGGCCTCCCCGGCGCCTATCTCGCCGCCACCCGGGCGGGAGGGGGCGGCGGGCTCTCCCCTTCCTCTCCGCGTGGCGGGCGCGGGCTCGGGGCGGGCCAGGGGTTTCCCGGGGGTCTGGCCGCGTCCCCGTTCCCGTCCCCCGCCCGGCCCGCTTCCGGCCTCCGCGCGCCCCGTCCCGAGCGCACGCGGCCTCCCGCGCCCCTCCCCCTCCGCGCGCGGCCCCGCACTTCGCCTTTGCCCCGCCTCGGCGGCGCGCGGCCCTTCCCGCTTCCCGTCCGGCCCTTGCGCGCCCGCTCGGATGGCCCTTCCCGCCTCCCGTCCGCGCCCTTCGTGCGCCTGCGTAGCCCGTCGCGCGTCCCCGTTGGCCCCAGCGCGCGTGCGCGGCTGCCGTCGGGGGCGCGCGCCTTTCCCGCCGCCCGGACTCTGCCCCCGGCGCAGCCACGGAAGCGCAGGCGGGGCTGGGGCGGCCGCCGGGAGGGAAAGCCGGCGCCGGGGCCTCGCCGCGGGCTGGAGGCTCTGCGCTCCCTGCCCTGCCCCCCGTGCGCCCCGGGCCGTGGCCAAGGGTTTCGGTGATCTCAGGAGAGAGGCGGCCGCCCCGAGGGTCGGAGGGTCCTCTCCAGGGACCCCCGCGGGCGCCGTCATGGGGAGGGCCTTCCCGGCTCTCTGGCCGCGGCAGCCTTTCCGGGCGGCTTTGCGGGGCGGGCTTCCCCTGGGAGGGGTGGGAGCCCCTCCAGAAAGGCCGTGTCCCGCCGAGCGCTTCCTGCGCGAGGCCCTCCCTGGGAATAGGAAGCGGGAGAGGCGGGAGATGCTTCGCATTCTTTCCGTTTTCCTGAGAAGTTTTTCTTGGGCCCAGTTGGTTTTAAAAGTGTGATAGGACGTGCTCCGTGCAGTCCGCGGTGTCACAGCGGAGAGGCGCAGTCCAGAGTGGGTCTGGAGCCCTTGGCATGCGTCAGGGCAGGTGGGTCCTGCAGACGGCGGGCCGGGGCTCCCCGCTCTCGGTGCCAGCGCCGCGGGCTTGGGGCCGCGAACTCGCCTCCCGGAGTGAGGCAGGTCCGGGGGCTGCGCTTCCTTCCGACGCGCGCTCCGAGTCACTGAGGCCCTCGCCGGGAGTTGCAGTGGCCCCGTAGGCGCCGTGGGGAGCTCCCTGTTGGGTCGGGAGCTGGCCGGGGCTGAACGGGGGGCCTCGGGCCGCCCAGCTTTCTTCCCACCTTCCCCCCGAGGTGTCCCCAGGAGGGAGAGTCGGGTCGGGCAGGGCTCGGGTTGATCAGTAACTGAGGCTGTGTGTTCCGATCGGTCTGTTAATTTTTATTTTTATTGACGGTTTCCACGGCCGCCACCCGCCCTCGGTGGATGGGGCTCCACTCTGATGAGAGGCGCCGTCTTGGGGAGCCACCCCCATTCTGGCGGAAGCTCTGGCCCAGGCCTGGGAGTTTGCCGGCTTCAGCCTTTCTCAGGCGTTTCCAACTTTCTGGAAAGCACACAGCGGCCCTCGAACCCTCTCAGCGGCGTCTAGCATCCTCAGGGCTTCCGTGGGGCGTGTCTTTGTCTTGGGACTTGTGGAGCCTGGTCCAGAGGTGGGGCCTAGGGTCCTGCTGGGAGGGAGGGGCGCCGCAGGACAATGGTGGCCCCTTTTCAAGTTGCAGTCAAGTGGACGGCTCACTTCCCTGCCCTTCTGAGCTTTCTCTAGCGGGGCCTCGCGCAGCCAGAGGGAGCCCCGCGGAGGTGGCGGCTGCAGGGTCCTGCGGCTCTCCTGGCCCCGGCACAGCCGGACGCGCCTGCTGCTGAGCGGCCACCGGGCTAACGTTGTCTCCTTTCTCTCTCTCTACAGCATTGTCCCAGATATAGCCGTTGGTACAAAGGTAGGCACTTCTCACTTTGCTTCTCCGTGACGCTCCTCTGACCTTGTGCCGACCCCAGGGGCCACCCACCAGCGCTGCTGCGTTGGCTGGAGAGCGCCTTGCCGATCCGAAGGGGCACCTTTCTATTCCTAAGGGGCACACTACCCTTGGTCTGGAATCTGGAGTTGGGTGGGAGGGTTCCAGCCCCGGCTCCACTGCCCCGTGCGTTTTGGGGGCCTGGGTTTGCTGGCCGCCCCTCAGGTCTGGAATCTGAGCCACTCTTCAGTTCTTGCTCTCAGGAGTGAGGGCTCTTCGTGCCTCAGACCTGCGTTTGGAACCTCCCCTGTCCCTGGAGGCCGGAAGAGCGTTGTGAAGGGGGAACCTCGTGTTGTGGCTGCCAGAGAGACTCTTGGTTTTGATCAGAAAAGAGCCACTTGGCTGTGGAGGGACCTGGGCAGACCCCCGTGTGTGTGAGTGGCTGGAGTGGGCATTTACTGGTTGCTTTTGACATGAAGCTGGTTTCTTTTTTGAGATGGGGTCTTGTTTTGTCACCAGGCAGGAGTGCAGTGGTGCGATCTTGGCTCACTGCAACCTCCACCTCCTGGGTTCAAGCGATTCTCCTGCCTCTGCCTCCTGAGTAGCCGGAATTACAGGTGCCCACCACCATGTCCGGCTAATTTTTGTGTGTGTGTATATATGTTTTTTAACAAACACGGAGTTTCACCCTTGTTGGCCAGGCTGGTCTGGAACTCCTGACCTCAGGTGATCCACTGCCCTCAGCCTCCCAAAGTGCTGGGATTACAGTTGTGAGCCACCAGGCCCTGCTGACATTAAGTGTCTTTTGATGGCATCTGGGCAGAACAACAGTAAACTGTCAAAGATGGCGTTTGGGGCAAGAGAAGAATGAATGTGCCAGATCTCACGTGTGTGTGAATCTTGCAGCCAGGGCTGGAAGGCAGGGGCACTGCTTCCCCGTGGAGGGTGAGGCCAGGGCTAAGGGTGTGAGGAAAGGGGGTGAGAACATGGAGTGTAAGGTCCTGGGAAGGCCAGCGATTCCGAGGGAGCTGTGGTCCTCGCTTGCTGGGGTGGGTGGTTAATGATTGTGCTGGTCATTGTGGGTTGAGGGGCTCTGACTTCAGGACTTGTCCCCTGAGGGCCTCCTGCAGGGTGAGCCCACAGCGGTGGGGCCTGAGCCCTCTGGTTTCTGGTCAGTCAGCGGTGGGGCCTGGGCCAGGTTTCGGTTTTTCCCAAGTGGACTGCTGTCTTTATAGGCGGCCTGCCCCGATCTTCCTGGAGATAAAACCTGTTTGTTCAGTGTGGGAGGAGGGAGAGGGACTTTCATCTGAAGCATTTGCAGCAATCCCTAGATGTGTCTGGCTTGCAGGCAGTCCTCTTTTCCTTGCTTCTGTGAGGCTGCGTTCCAGCTGGAGTGGCCCTCAGCTTCCGTCAGGTGGTCCTGCGGCCCTTCTCTGCAGTTCCTAGGGGGCTCGATGGCTGGGACGCGGAGGCTAAGCCAGGACAGGATGGAAGCCCGCGGGCTGTGGTGCAGGGAGGGATTTTGCCAAGGGGCGGTGTCAGGGCCCCTGCTGGGTGCAGGCCCTGGTAGGAGGATGGGGTGGTACCCTGACCCGGGTGATCGCCCTCCTGCACCAGGGAACCCTCAGCTGACCTGGGCCCACACCTGGCCACGCTGTCCTTTAGCCCCGGACAGAGCACCTCCTGTTCAGTGTGGGGTTGAAGACGCCTCGGACCTGTGCCGCAGGGTCCCAGCTGCAGACTGGGAGGGCTTGGGGCGTTTCCTGTCAGTCCGTGTGCTTCAGGACAGGTCCCTTGAAGGGACCCTCCTGGGGTGTCTGGCAGCTGCTGTGAAGGAAGTGGAGGCGCTCAGCCCAGCTTGGGTCTCCTGGTTGCTGCCCTGTGGAGCCTCAGAGCCTCCAGGTGTCCCTTTCGTTCTACTGGGGCGCTGCTGAGCTGAGCCAAGCCAGCCTGTGCCGCCCGGGCAGGCGTGGAGTTTGCTGCCACAGACGGTTGTGGGCATGCCAGGCCACTTGCCCATGGGAATGAGATTAGGGCTTCAGGCAGGCGGCCAAGAAGACTGCTCAGAGGAAACGGCCCCGCCCACCACTCCAGTCAAAGACAGGGTCCAAGATGCCCTTTTTAAGGTTTGTGCAGCTAGCACATGGGAGCCGCATGGGCGCCTGGCCGCTGTCCAGCTCGGGGGAGGACCAGCCCTGGTGTCCTAGATGGTCGGCTTCTGGGCTCCCCCAGCCTCTGGGCTGGAGGGGAGAGGAGACAGGAAACGACTTCCTGTGGGGGGCGGGGGGCGGAGGCTGGAGGCTCTGTGTCTCTGCGGCTCAGGTGCTCCTTGCCTCACATCCTCCTGTCCTGGCACTCCTGTGTTTTCTGATCCCGTGGTTTCCACCTGAGGCTGCTGACTGTTTGCCCTGGGGCTGTGCAGCCCCACCCTGTGCTCACAGAGGGCCCTGGACTCTGGAAGTAAAAAGAGGACCCGAGGGTCTGTTTTCAGCATTTGACTTCATTTGCGTTCGGCGGGAACCTCAGCCGCCCTGACGGTGGACCCTTCTGTTCATTCTTTGATCCTAAAGTCTTGGGGACTGACAGGTGGCATTTGGGTGGGCGCCGGGCCTGTGGAGCCTGAGCGATTCCTGGTTCTAGCCCTGGTGGCTTCTCGACTGCTTGTTTGGTGACGCCCTGGGTGCTTACGGGGTTGGCCTGGGGGCTCGAGGCTGCAGTTAGAGGTCTCAGTGGCAGCGGCAGTCCCTGTTCCCTGTCCTGGAGCAGGTGCTGGAGTCTCATGTGAGGAGGCTTTGGAGGCCGGCCTGCCTTCCTGCCTTCCCTCCTTCCTTCCTGGAAGCTCTATAGCCAGGGCCAGCAGAGGGCCCCGGCTGAGGTCAGGGCAGGAGTGGAGCTGAATGTGTGTGGAGGGGGGCGGCCTTAAGGGAAGACCATCCAAGCGCAGGCTCAGGGAGGCCAGTGCTGGTGGGGTCTCTTTGACCAGGCATGGGGGCGCATGGAGCTGGGGGCTGAGTGGGGACAGGGCGTGACATCCACTGGTTCCTTCTGATGCGATGGCCTTGGGCCCCTCAGTAGGTGGGGCAGGCTCTTGGCCTCACTCCTGATATGGGAGATGGAGGAGGCTCCTTCTTTGTTCCCTGGGATGGCTCTGTCCTGGGGGCTTGGGCGCTTCCCTGGGGGCCTGCAGAGTCCGGCTTTGCAGACCAAGCGCCTGTGCTCCAAGGTCCTCAGACCCGAGCTTTGTTTTTTGTGTAACTAAGGGCCGTAACCAACGTCTCCTCCAATTTCACTCTTTGAATAAACGTGTGTCTTCAATCCTTGCGTGGGGGGGGCCGTCTGCCGTTCTGAGCCTAGGATCAGTGTAGTGTAATTCTTCCTAGAAGTTGACTCAGTTACATAGAAATAACGAGTGAATGGATTGTTTCTGGAGAGAAAATGGACAGGTAGAAATGATGGGGCTGCTGTAGAGCTCCCCTGGCCCCAGTCACGGCCGCAGTAGCACCAGATCACTGTGCAGGGAGGCTATGTCTCTGGTGCTGTCTCGAGTGTGCGGAGACGGAGGTCGGGTTTCCCTTACGGGGCTGGAAAACAGAAGAGGAGGGGCTTCCGCGAGAGCGAGCGAGGCGGTGCTAGAGTTTGGTTCTCCTGCGAGGCCACCAGAAGTGAGGTCAGCTGCCTGGGCCCTGCCGTGTGCTGCTGGGGAGGCTGGCTCCATGGAGCGGGCCCCCTGCCCTGCTGGCTGGTGGCTGAGGCCCAGGCCTGCGCCCAGGGCGGCCGGCAGCACAGTGAGGCCGCGTCCACATCAGAGTTGGCTGTGGAGATAGTATACGCGGTGCCCTCCGTCGCTGAGACCTCCCAGCGCCACACTGGCTGAGTACCCCAGGGCTTCCAGAGTTTGGAAAAAGGAACAGTTGTGGAACTGTGGGGTGCTGCGCGTCCATGGGCTGGGGGTGTTTCTGGAGACAGGCCTGGGTCTGTGCTCGGGCTGCCCTGCTTTGGAAGTGTGGGTGTGGGTGTGGGTTGGGGGTTTGGGACCCCAGGCAGCCCGAGTGGGAGCGGGGCGGCCGGTGGGGAAGGGAGGCTCTGGCCTGGCGGGAAGTGCAGCTCAGCGTTGTCCCTTCTCTTGCAGCGGGGATCTGACGAGCTTTTCTCTACTTGTGTCACTAACGGACCGTTTATCATGAGCAGCAGCAACTCGGCAGGTAAGGCCGGGACTTAGCCCAGGGCAAGGCCTGTGGCTGTCTTTCCCTGGAACAACCCTGGGACTGTCCCTTTCATCTCAAACGGCAGGGCCCATGGTCCACGCTGCAGGTCCAGGTCCCAGTTCTTGCTACAGAGAATTCCTGGGGAGGTGCTGGATGGGTGGTCCAGGCCGGCACTTGGACCTGTGGGCGGGTTGTCAGCAGCTGTCAGAAGCAGGGGTCCCGACCGTGCAGGCCTTGGCCTCGTGCTGCTGATTCATGTGCACCCTCCTGGGGCTCAGGGCTGGCCTCGTGCTGCTGGTTCACGTGCACCCTCCTGGGGCTCAGGGCTGGTCTCCGTAGCAGGCAGGGCTCTAGGAGGAGAGCTGGGACCCGGCCCTGTGGGCTTCTACGTGGTGATGCCTGCGTCTCACGGCACCCCCTTTTCAGCAAACGGAAATGACAGCAAAAAGTTCAAAGGTGACAGCAGAAGTGCCGGCGTCCCCTCCAGAGTGATCCATATCCGGAAGCTCCCCATCGACGTCACAGAAGGAGAGGTCATCTCCCTGGGGCTGCCCTTCGGGAAGGTCACCAACCTCCTGATGCTGAAGGGGAAAAACCAGGTATCTGAGCCGCGCTTCTCGGGGCGTTGGCACCGCGCAGGTGGGGAGGAGGAGGGCCCGGCACTCACTGCCTCCCCCACAGGCCTTCATCGAGATGAACACGGAGGAGGCTGCCAACACCATGGTGAACTACTACACCTCGGTGACGCCCGTGCTGCGCGGCCAGCCCATCTACATCCAGTTCTCCAACCACAAGGAGCTGAAGACCGACAGCTCTCCCAACCAGGCGGTGCGTGGCCCTGCAGCGGACCCCAGCAGCCCAGGGACCTCGGGGGTGGGCCTGGCCTCGGGCCGGGGACTCATGGCAATGCCTCCCACAGCGGGCCCAGGCGGCCCTGCAGGCTGTGAACTCGGTCCAGTCGGGGAACCTGGCCTTGGCTGCCTCAGCAGCGGCCGTGGACGCAGGAATGGCGATGGCTGGGCAGAGCCCTGTGCTCAGGATCATCGTGGAGAACCTTTTCTACCCGGTGACCCTGGATGTGCTGCACCAGGTGAGGTGGTCCCATCACCGCCAGGGCCGCACAGGCTCCGTCAGGCTGCTGTTGCTGTGGGCGCAGGCCCACGGGAGGGGTCTGGCAGGGCTGGTGGGCGCCGGGCAGGAGCTCATGCTGTGCCTGGGATCTGCAGATTTTTTCCAAGTTCGGCACAGTGTTGAAGATCATCACCTTCACCAAGAACAACCAGTTCCAGGCCCTGCTGCAGTACGCGGACCCTGTGAGCGCCCAGCACGCCAAGCTGGTGAGTGGGGCTCCCAGGATGGCACCTGCCCTGGCCCTGGCCTGGCCGCATCTCATGCTGCCTCTCCCCTCAGTCGCTGGACGGGCAGAACATCTACAATGCCTGCTGCACGCTGCGCATCGACTTTTCCAAGCTCACCAGCCTCAACGTCAAGTACAACAATGACAAGAGCCGCGACTACACGCGCCCGGACCTGCCCTCTGGGGACAGCCAGCCCTCCCTGGACCAGACCATGGCCGCGGCCTTCGGTAAGAGGCTGCCCGACGTGGCGCCAGTGTGCAGAGTGGTCTGTGAGGGCCGCTCAGTCCGGAACCCCAGCGGCACGGGTCCGGCCCTGCACCAGGGTGATGCGCCTGCTGCTCTCTGCACGGCCAGCACAGCACAGTCCGGTGCCCCCCACGTCGGGACCACGGCCCCCCTAGAGCAGCGGATCTGCCCGCGAAGGCTCTGCTGGGGCCGCCCGCCAGCCGGGTTGGGGCCCATCCCACAGCACAGCGCCCGCTCGCGGTGGAGGTTGTGGGTGCGATGATTAGTGTCTCATTTATTTCTAGGTGCACCTGGTATAATCTCAGCCTCTCCGTATGCAGGAGCTGGTTTCCCTCCCACCTTTGCCATTCCTCAAGCTGCAGGTATTCAAACGCTTGGTCTTGGTTCCCCGGCGACTGCATGCCCACACCACCTTCCCAGGCAGCTCCGCATCCACGGCGGCAGCCTGGGCGGACTGGGCACTCGAGTGCCAGGTCAGGGGCCCTTCCCGGGAGAGGGGACGCCACGTCCACAGAGCAGGCTTGGCCAGGGCAGTGGTAGGACAGGGCAGTGAGGCGCACGTGTGGATGGCGCCAGCCAGAAGCCGCTAACCGCACAGTCTTTGTGGTCTGGTTCCCTTCAAGCACCTCCGGGCGAGCGCGAGGACCGCCAGTGGTTGGAGGGATGTGTCCCTAGTAGTTGAATTTGAGTGGCCGGGTAAGCGCGTGGCCCGAGGCTGAGGAGCATGACCGGCGGCGGGACGTGTGTGCGTGGCCGTCCTCCTGCTTCCCTTCTGGGACCGGGACCGGGCCGCCGAGTGCTGGCCGTGGACGGAGCAGCGCGTGCCGCCCCGCGGCCGCCTTGTCTGCATGGAGGCATGGGCACGCATGCGCGGTGGTCCCGGGACAGGCCCTGCTTGCCGAGGGCCCCGTGTCTGTGCTGGCGGAGCCGGAGCTTTTCTGTGCTGTGGGCGCATGCAGATGAGTCCAAGCCCCGCACGGCCCGTGCTGTGAGGAGAGGCGGGCGCTGGTGCAGGAGCCAGCGGGTGGCTGTGCGGGGGTCGGGCGACCCCACAGGCACCCGGGGTAGGGCCAGAGCCAGGGCCGCCTCCTGCGCGGCTCCTCGGTGCATGAGGACGGGGAGCGTCGGCCTCTCCCACTCTGCGGTGGACTGGGGGTGCCGCTGCTCATCTTACCTCCTACCTTTCCAGGCCTTTCCGTTCCCAACGTCCACGGAGCCCTGGCCCCACTGGCTATCCCCTCGGCGGCGGCGGCAGCTGCAGCGGCAGGCCGGATCGCCATCCCGGGCCTGGCGGGGGCAGGAAATTCTGTATTGCTGGTCAGCAACCTCAACCCAGAGGTACGTGGGCTTCGCCGCGCCGTTCCACCCGGAAAAGCGAGCAGGGGATGTTGTGCTCGGTCTTGGGTCCCGGAGCGGCGCCACCCCTCGCTGTCTGCGCCTCTGCCCCGGCAGCTCCTCTGCTGCAGCGCTGAGACCCTCCTCTCCCAAGATGGCTTGAGTTTTCCTGTTTTCCTGAATTCACATCTTGGTTTGCGTTTTCACTTCCATGATATGCAGAATGAATTGTTTTTTGTTACCCAAAGGCAATGTAAAAATTACTCGGAACTGAGCAGGGCGTGCAGTTCAGAGCCGCAGCAGGCGCCCTGCTGGTCCCCGGGACACAGGGTTAGTGCGGCAGGGTGTGGGCGGCCCCTGTGGCACCAGAGCCTGTCACTTACTTAGCTGGTGGATCTGTTATTTCTCAGAATGGTTAAATCCCCCTCGGGGAGAGCTTGGGTAAAACTGGAGGCTCAAAATATGGAACTTGATGGATGGGATCCCCTGGAATCAGGATTTCAGGCTGTTCTGTTACTCGGCAACTCCTGTGATATCCTCAAGGTGGTGCCCACCCCGGCCCTCCCTCGCGGGCCACAGGGCGCACTCCCTGCCTCTGCCTCTTACCACAAGCCCGGTGCTGTCCCTCCAGCTCCTGAGCCAGGGGACCCACGGCGAGGCCGTGCTCTAACAGACTCAATCTCCCTTCACGCCTGTGTCATCGTCCTTAGAGACTGACTTGTGCCACAGCCGTGGGAGACAGCGCTGCTGCGGGGTGTGGCTGAGGCGGCGGGAGCGGAGCTGCACCCGCGCTCCGGGGGGCATGGTGGGCATCAGCCTCTGGGCGCCCTCCAGCAGTGCTGTCTCCGCCGGCATGTGAGTGAAGGTGCTTTTCTCACTGTGTGCCCCTCGGTAAACCTGTAACTGGAATGTGTGTGGAGTGTGACTGATAGAACACTACCTGATTTTCTTATGTATTTACTGACCTGTGTTTTTTTGCTACTTTTTTTCTTTTCTCCCCTTCCCCTTTCCCAATTTTTTTTCTTGCCCTGATCCGGAATTTCTTTGCCAACTGACTGCACGGTACTTCTGCTTCCTGTTGTTGCTTGAAACAAAACAAAAACATAAACAAATAAAAAACAAATTCCCCCTCAAACCCTGCTCTCCGGAAACCAACCTGCCCTTGAATATTAACATCCTGACAACTTCATCATCCATCAACCACCGCACGCCTGCGGGGCTGTCTTCCTCGCGTGGACGATTGGCAACTCGCCCCCCTTGACCTCTCCCTCTCCCCTGTCCCTCCGCTGCCTTGCTCTGCTGTCTCTAAAGAGAGTCACACCCCAAAGCCTCTTTATTCTTTTCGGTATGTTATCATTCACACTTTTATTACCTTGTTTTCATTTAATTGAGATGATTTTGATGCCCTGAGACGTATTATGAGTTTGCGGTTTGGCACTCTGATGCTCCGTGGCATCGGCCTCGTTTTATGGTTTGCTTTCGGTTTGCCTATTTTATTTGGTCCCGTAGATACGTACGCATGGTTTATCGCCCTGCATGCTTTTCAGAGTTAGACCTGTCGGTGGCATATGCCACCGTGGCCACCTGCTGGCAGCTTACCTGTCCTGGATGCTATGACTTTGCTGAACGGAGCTGCTCCTGTTAGCGCGCCCTGTGGCTGCGAGACGCAGCTCCGCAGTGGCCGATTAAGCAAACCCGGCCGGGCTGAGCCGGGCCTTGTCGGGGGTGGATGCGGGGTTGGGGCTGACGGGGAGATGGGCGGGGCGGGCGGCAGGCGACTCAGGCCCTGTCCCTGGGCTTTTGAAGGCGTCTATGGCGACGTGCAGCGCGTGAAGATCCTGTTCAATAAGAAGGAGAACGCCCTGGTGCAGATGGCGGACGGCAACCAGGCCCAGCTGGGTAAGAGGCCAGGCTGGGCCGGCCCTGGGGGCGGTGGGGGCAGGAGCTGCCTTCCCTCTCGGGTGCCTGGTCACATGGGTGCTGCTGTCCCCAGCCATGAGCCACCTGAATGGGCACAAGCTGCACGGGAAACCCATCCGCATCACGCTCTCGAAGCACCAGAACGTGCAGCTGCCCCGCGAGGGCCAGGAGGACCAGGGCCTGACCAAGGACTATGGCAACTCACCCCTGCACCGCTTCAAGAAGCCGGGCTCCAAGAACTTCCAGAATATATTCCCGCCCTCAGCCACGCTGCACCTCTCCAACATCCCGTGAGTGCTGGCGGGGGGCGGGCACGGGGCCGGGCCAGGGCTCTGCGTGGCTGTCCTGCCGCGTCGTCCTGTGAACTTCTGCCATTTCCAGAGTGCCGGTCGGACACTGAAGTATGGCAAGGCCTGAAGCTTGAGCCAGGGGATGCTCGAGGGGGGATCGTTGGACTTGGAAGGGTTTGGTTTTTTGGCTTGGGGGATGCTCTGCTGTGAGAATGTAGAACGCACACGTTTATTTATTTATATTTTTTGAGACGGAGTCGTGCTCTGTGGTCCTGGCTGGAGTACAGTGGAAGGATCTCGGTTCATTGCATCCTCTGCCTCTTGGGTTCAAAGCGATTGTCCTGCCTCAGCCTCCCGAGTAGCTGGGACTACAGGCGCCCGCCACCACGCCTGGCTAGTTTTTTGTATTTTTTTAGTAGAGACGGGGTTTCTCCGTGTTAGCCAGGATGGTCTCGATCTCCTGACCTCGTGATCCACCTCCCTCGGCTTCCCAAAGTGCTGGGATTACAGGCGGGAGCCACCGCCCCCAGCCTAAAAGCACACCTTTATAATCCCAGTGCTATGTGGGGCCAGGCAGGGGATCTTCTTTTTTTTTTTTTTTTTTTTGAGACAGAGTCTCGCTCTGTCGCCCAGGCTGGAGTTCAGTGGCGCAATCTCAGCTCACTGCAAGCTCCGCCTCCCGGGTTCACGCCATTCTCCTGCCTCAGCCTCCCGAGTAGCTGGGACTACAGGCGCCCGCCATCTTGCCCGGCTAGTTTTTTGTATTTTTTTAGTAGAGACGGGGTTTCACCATGGTCTCGATCTCCTGACCTTGTGATCTGTCCGCCTCGGCCTCCCAAAGTGCTGGGATTACAGGCTTGAGCCACCGCACCCGGCTGGCAGCGGATCTTCTTGAACCCAAGACCAGCCTGAGCAATAAAATGAGATTCCCGTCTCTACCAGAAAAAGTGGTTAAAATTAGCCAAGAGTGGTGGTGTGCACCTCAGGGCCCAGCTCCTTGGGATTTGGAGGCTGAGTTGGGAGGTTCACTTTGAGCTCAGAGGTTTGAGGTTGCAGTGAGCTGTGATTGCCACCCTCCAGGCTGGGTAACACAGTGAGACCCTGTTTAAAAAAAATACATAATGCAAATATTTGGAAATGCAGGTACATCTGGCCCCAAGTATGTCAACCTATAGAAAGCCCTTTGATATTTAACACATTACTTGTGAAATGTTTATAAGGGGCCTGGCAGAGTGGCTCACGCCTGTGATTCCAGCACTTTAGGAGGCTGAGGTAGGCAGATCGCCTGAGGTCAGGAGTTCAAGACCAGCCTGGCCAACCTGGTGAAACCCCATCTTTACTAAAAATTAAAAAATGGCCGGGCGCGGTGGCTCAAGCCTGTAATCCCAGCACTTTGGGAGGCCGAGACGGGCGGATCACGAGGTCAGGAGATCGAGACCATCCTGGCTAGCACGGAGAAACCCCGTCTCTACTAAAAAAATACAAAAAATTAGCTGGGCGTGGTGGTGGGCGCCTGTAGTCCCAGCTACTCGGGAGGCTGAGGCAGGAGAATGGTGGGAACCCGGGAGGCGGAGCTTGCAGTGAGCTGAGATTGGACCACTGCACTCCAGCCTGGGAGACAGAGCGAGTCTCCGTCTAAAAAAAAAAAAAAAAGGCCCAGTGTGGTGGCTCTGATCCCCTTTGGGAGGCGAGGCGGGCGTACAAGGTCAGAGATCGAGACCATGGTGAAACCCCGTCTCTACAAAAAAAAAACAGAAAAAATTGGCCGGGGCGCGGTGGCGACGCCTGTGGTCAGCCTCGGGAGGCTGAGGCAAGAGAATGGCGTGAGCCCGGGAGGCGGAGCTTGCAGTGAGCCGAGACTAGCCACACGGTTTGCAGAGAGCGAACTCCGTCTCAAAAAAAAAAAAAAAAAGCCTGGCATGGTGCTGTGCCCTTGTAATCCCAGCTTGGGCTCAGGCAGGAAGAATCACTTAGTACAGGAGAAGTAGGTTATAAGCCAAAGAATCACCACACTCCAGCCTGGTGACAAAGCCGACTCTGTCTCAAAACAAAAAAAAGGGGGCGTAGCCCACTCTGCTTCTGCAAACCTGGTCTTACCTGGTTTTTTTTTCATTAGAAGCTGCTTCAGACCATTGTGGGCATGATTCAGTGTCCCATTTCTGGAGAAGGCCCTACCCACCTTCCCTGGCCACTCAGAAAACTAGTAAGGAGAGCTTCGCTGATCTCATTAGATGTCCCCCTTCCCGGCCCCAGGCAACACCTTTCTCCTCCCACCAGACCCTCAGTCTCGAAGGATCTCAATTCTGTTCTCCAGCAATGATCGTCAAGTTCAAGTTCTTCCCGAGTGAGTGAGGGCGGAATGGGTGCCTGTGCCTCCCGGGCTACCCTGTGGCCGGCCCACGACCCCCTCTGTCTTGCAGGAAGGACCGCAGATGGCACTGATCCAGATGGGCTCTGTGGAAGGGGCGGTCAGGCCCTCTTCCTGCACAACCATGACCTCGGGGGAGAACCACCACCTGCGGGTCTCCTCTCCAAGTCACCATCTAGGGGCACAGGCCTTAACGACCACATGCATGAAATACTTCCATCATTCCAGAAAAAGCCACTTTGCTTTAAAGCAGCTGAAGTGACTTAACAGACCAGAGATTTTATTTTTAAAGAGAAATCAGTTTGTGTTTTAAAAAGTCGTCGTTCTGCTAACCCTGCGGTGGCGGGGATGCTCAGGCTGCTTGGTGACTGTGGCAGCCCGGGGTTCAGCCCTCCACACCGGGGCCAGACCGGGCTGTGCCTTGAGTGGGGCACGGGGTACAGGTGCCTGACCACAACTACGGCTTCCTTGTGCCAAATCCCTGCCTTCCTGCAGCCACCCCGGAGTCACCAGGGACGAGGCAGGGCTCACACCAGAGAAGGCCCATATGTGGCCGGCTCCGTGATCTGCAGGATCATGTACCTTAGCGGCCAGTGCGACTCCCAACCCCCAGCCCTCCTAATCAAGTCTTATGATTTCCCCACACCTGCCCCCAGGGCCCTGCAACCCCAGTAGGTCTCCCCACTGCTCAGCTCGAGCTGGTAAATCATAATCTCTGTATTATATATACTTTGCAGTTGCAGCGTGTGCTAACAATATTCCAGTTGACCAAATATTCTAATCTTTTTTCATTTATGCAAAAGAAAATAATAGTTTTAAGTAACTTTTTATAGTAAGATGATGCAATGTGGTATGAGTGTAATAATCTAAACATGTATTGGTATTACCTTATGCTGTTGCTTTTATTTTATTCCTTGTAATTAAGTCACAGGCGGGACCAGTTTCCAGAGAGAGCAGGCGGGGCATGGCCAGGTCAGGCACAGGAGCCCCAGTCCACGATCTTAGACCCAGGCTTCAGGGAAGGAAGGCAGCGTCGCCGCCTGTCGCCTCCCGGTTGCCTTACACCACACCTTCACCTGCAGTCGCCTGAGGAAACTTGCTCCGACTTCTTCAGGGTTTTTTTCCTTCGTTTTGGACCAAGTCTCATTTCTGTGTTGTGCTTGCCTCTGATGTGCAGGACCCGGCAGGCGGCCGCTCCCATGTCCCTCACTGTGCTGTCTCCCACCCCGGGTCATCCGGGAAGCTCTCAGGATCCCCTTTCCACTGAAGAGTGTAACAAAGTTATAAATATTTATAATTTTTTATACCTGTTATTGTGAGACCAGTGACAATGTGGTTTTTTTTATGGTGACACACAGATATGTTTTGCTAACAGCAATTCCAGGCGTCAGTATTGGCCGTGGAGCCACAGGGACCCCACGCACATTCCGTTGCCTTACCTGATGACATGGCGGAGAACCGATTAAAACCGTTTGATAAACTCCTCCTTGTCTAGGCCTGTGATGATGTTCGCTGTAAGGCCTTTGTAGAGTGCGGCAGTCTGTACCTGGACTTGGTCGTCTCTTCTGTATCTCGCTCCGTCCGCCTTCATTGCTGTTTCCTCTTTCTGTGCTGGTGCAGCTGGAAATACCGGGTTTCATGAGCTTGCAGGTGGGGCAGCTAGGCGAGGTGGGCCCAGCTGAGGGTCGCGTGGAGCATGCGGGTCAATGTGATAAACTGTTAGGAGGTTCCATAGCTGTGTGACACCGTCCCCGCCCGCCGCCCCGGCCCGCCGCTAGTGAGAGAGCGCGCCTGCATTTTGCGGGCGCTCATTACCGGCCTCGCCTCGCGCTCCGCCAGCCCCAGGCCGCGCGTGGCGCCAGCGTGGACTCCACGTGCCGGGCCCAGTGCCCGTCGGCGCACCCCAGCGAGCAGCCCCTCGCCCGTACCAGGTGGCCCGGTGGCCCACGGCCCGGGCTGTATCCTCCTGGTCCACGTCGCTGACCGGCAGGCCGAGGGACACGCCCGGAGGCCCAGCCCCGCCGCGGCACGCCGGCGCCAGATCCCAGCGTCACATGTGCCCGCCGTGCGGCCTCCGCCTTGGCCCGCCGCCCGCCGCCTTCCACTCCCAGAGGCGCCCGACCGGGAGTACACCACGAGGTGATGCGGCGCGTCTTGTCGATGGTCACGATGCTGGTCGAGTCCCGGCCTTGGCGGCGGTACTGCGAGGCCAAGCTGGGCAACGGCCTCAAACCGCAGGCCAGCGCGCCGGGCAGATAGCGATGACCTGCAGCAGCCGCGGAGGGTTGGCCACGGCCGCCCGCTCTTCGGCATCATGAGCCACTTGGCGCACCCGGCCCTTTGCTTTTTTAGAGGGGACGACGGCCCCACCGCGTCGCCCTCTCACCGAGGATGTGCTGTGGCGGCCCAGCGGAGGATGACCGAGGCCCAGCCCAGCCGCGCCTGCACGGTGGAGTAGAGCGAAGCGGCCACTCCTCCGTCCTCTTCCTCCTCACCCCTCTTCCTCTCTTCCCCTCCCTCCTCTTCCTCCTCCTCCGCCATAGGCTCGGCTGGTGCGCGCAGGTGCCGGGAGCTGGCGTCGTCGGGCAGCCGGCCGCGGCCTCCAGAAAGCCTTGCTGCTCGGTGATGAGCTGCTTGGGTAGCGAGGCGATCCATTAACCCGTGGATGGTCATGTGGCGTAGGGTCGTCCAGCGGCCCAGCGCTGGCCCTGGGCAGCGTGTAGTCACCATGTTCTCATGGCCCAGAGGGCTGCGCGGGGCCAACAGGTCCACGTCCGCTGGCCTTCCAGGCTGCAGTAGGGTCTTCTCGCGGAGCCCCACGGGCAGGCGCGCCCTCCGCTCCAGAGGCCCCTTCGTGCTCACCCGACTTGTTCTGCTGATAAGGAGTCGTAGCCGCTGGGTCAGGGCCCGCGGCGTCCTTGGCGGGGGGGCCGGGTGCTTGAGCTTCTCGCCAGGTGGGAGCTGGAAGTTGCCCACGGCGTGGCCCTGAGGAGGTCTCTGGGGGTGAGCCTGTGTCGTTAGATTTGCCGTAGGGCTTTGGGCCAGGGAGGAGGGTGGCTTCTTGTCAGTGGGACCAGTTCCCACCTCCAAGGTGTGACCCGGCACATCTGGCAGGTCTGAGCCACGGGATTCTGTCCAGCATTCCAAGGGTGAGACACTTCCGCTGTAGCCCTAAGACCTGGCACCCCATGCCTCCCCCTCAGCCACCAGCCTCTCTCCTCCACCCTCTGGCCCAGCCTTCCTCAAGTCCCCTGGCACCCATGCCTCCCCCACCTCAGGCCACCAGCCTCCCCCATCAGCCCTGAGCCCCACTCCTCAGAACCCTGTTTCGGCCCAGCCTCCTCAGTCCCGTGGCCTGCCCATGCCAACCCCCTCAGAACCTGCCATCACCAAGTAGGCCACGCGTGCCTGCCCGATGGGGAGAAGCCGCGCGCCATCACGGGTGGCTGCGGTACTGCGTGATCTGCGTGAGCCACACACGCCGCGGCGATAGCAAGGCGGAGCCAGGATGGAGTTCCAACAGCTTGGTGTCCGAGATGACGAGTTGAAGTACATCTGGGGCATGGGGGATGGGGTCAGGAGAGCTTCCGCGGGCAGCAGAGGCCTGAGCAGGACAGAGGGGGCTGGACTCACCCGACACGTAGACCGCGCGAGCCGACAGTGTGGCTGCGGCGGAAGGTCTTCCTGTAAGGCGTCCAGCCCCACCTGGGGACCCCAGCTCCAGTGGCGCTGTGCCTCTTTCCCCCACATGTTCTGAAGTGGAAGGGACACGGGGTGAAGAGGCTCCCAGCCAGGGCAGTTGGGAGGGAGTCCGGCTCACCGTGCAGACAGGATGGCGTGGGTGTGGGTGCCGGAGCAGATGTCCTGCGTGATGTAGGGGTTGACCTGGGGCGTGCCCAGGAAGCGTGTAGTTAGGCTGAGCGGTAGGGAAAGAGTGTGGTAACCAGCTGGATCACGTCGTCACCAGGGCTGGCACACAGGCCAGGCTCAAATGGACACCTGCGGGGCGGAAGGCTCGGCCAGGCGGGGGGCTGAGGACGGGACAGCCCAGCCCTGCCGTGGACTGGCTCGGGGTTGGGCTGACAACTCACCTGGCCGCACGGTTCGCGCAGGAAGGAGTTGAAGTTGCAGCCACCGGCATTGATCTTGCCTCGGCGGTGGGCCCAGGCGCTGACCCCACCGCCGGGACTGCAGACAGTACAACATGCCCTCGGCCATGATCTGCCAACAAGGAGGGCTCAGGCAGTGCCTGAGGGAGGCGCTCAGGGCTCCCCCATGGTGCCCATAGGCCGACTCAGGCGGGCTCCATCTGCAGTGCCCACAGGCGCTTTTGAGCAGGCTCCCATCTGCGGTGCACACAGGCGGCACAGGCCCCAGTGTGGGTGCTCACCTGGCCCAGCAGGGACGCGAGGCCGGCTGAGCAACATCAGCAGTGGGATGAGCTCCTCGTTGGCCAGTCTCCACTGCCGTAGGGCATGGAGAAGTGCGGTCACTGAAGCCCATTGGCGGCAGAGAGGTCGGTCCCAGCTCCAAGTACAGGGATACGATGGAGGAAGCCACTATGGGCAGCTGTGGGCACAAGCCGGCCAAGTTCACCTGCTCTCCCTCATGCGCGTCTGTAGTCTCCATGAAGTCCAGGGCCATCACGGTCTCTCACCACCTGCGTCCAACTCACTCCCGTATCCCCCTTGAATTTTATTCATCCATCCTACAGATGCTCCATCATAACTTCTCGACCATCTACACACACCACATTACCACCCACCCCCATCCACCCAAACACCTATGCCCCCAACATCCCTGCCTCATCACCCACCCCATCCTGCTGGGAACCATCCCGTCCGCCATCTGCCCACCACCCTCATCATCCCCATCCTCCCACCCCTGCCATGAGTGCCTATCCATTCTATCCTTACCCACCCGGCCATCATCCAATCCATCCATCCATCCATCCATCCATCCATTCGATACAGCAG